TTAATATAAATCTCAGATTTCAGTCTTATCAAAAGCATTACAAAAATACTGTTTTGATTATTAAAAATAAAAGCTGTATATAAATTCAAATGTATAACTTCCTATCCACAAACGTTAAAACGTTTGTATAAATTAGATGAGGAATAAAAAAATACTTTGTCCTATGTAATCATAATTTTTGTTAGGTATTTTAGGAAAAAAAAGTATGTTAGGACTGCTCCTAATAATGTGGGCTTAATTAAACAGTTAAGTGATAGACTCTGTGGTTTGGGGTACATGCTGTGCCTTACATGGCAGTAAATCGTATAGAACTGAAGATATTATTTCACACAACATATAATAGAACGTAAGGAAGATACTCTTTACTTGAATTAGGACTAACTTTCTTGTCTTTTTGTGTCAACTAAGGTATTTGGTTTTTCTGTTATCTGGAAAACAGCTGGACATCACTTGGATAGCTCCTTGAACTTGTGTTTTCATTTGTCCTTACTGCTCTATTTTTCTTGCAAAACAAAGACTAGAGCTAGCACACGCTAACAATAAAAATGTTAGAAATTAATACTGTATACAAAGTCAATATGTTATTCAAACAAAAAGGCTGACCTCTTATATTTATGTTTAGGTGAAGAATTATCCACTTTTCCTGAAGCACTGTGCTCATTACAAGTAGTTACAGTTCATTTCTCTCTGAAGCATGATACATAATCTTGGTTTTGGCATACTAGCAAAAAGTTCCTTGTACAGATGTTTATATTCATATTCAGAGATTAGCTGTTGGTGATTCAGCCTGTGTTTGGGCACTGTAGGGAAAACTGTAGGGAAATTATTCCCAGGCTTTGTCACCCTCACAGTAAAGAAGCTTTGTTTTACATGGAACTTCCTGTGTTCCAGTTTCTGCCCTTGTCCTGCAGTATTTTGTCAGCGAAGAGAGTGGCAAAATAACTTGATTCCAGCAATTTTTTCAATATTGTTCCATAAGACCATCTGGCAACATGACTTTAATTCAGTTTAATAAACTGTTGCTGCTACTGCTGTGCTTATGTGCAGATGCTGCAGTGTGCTTTAGCAGTGCTGGTTGTCTTGCATTGCTATAGAGACAGGATATAGGAGTTCCCTTCTTTTTCTTTCTCCTTGCTCTTCTGGTTAAATAATGGACAATAATTGGGGTCAAAACTGCTCAGTGGGTAAGAAATTCAGAGTAGGTGTGGTGGTTTCACTGATGGGGCAGCTGAACTCCATCATGCTGCTTTCCCACTCCCACTCCTCAGATGAACAGGGGAAGAAAATATGATGAAAAAATCGGCTAACAGGTTGAGATGAGGATGGGGAGATCGTTTGTCAGTTACTATCACGGCAAAACACGCAGTGTAGGGAATTTAATACAATTCATCATCTACCAATAACAGACTAGAGCAGTCAAAATTAAAAGCAAACTAAAAACACTTTCTCCTATCTGCAGCCTTTACTTCCTACCCCTGAGCAGTGCAAAGAAACCGGGTTCAGGGTCTGTGGTAAGCCCAAAGTGCTTTCTCTCATCCACTCCTCCATCGTCACTGTCTGCCCCTGCTCCACATGGGTCCTTCCCGCGAATGCCATCCTTCCTGAAATGATCCCATATGGGCTTCCCACAGGCTGCAGCTCCCAAAGCACTGCCCCAGCATGGCTGTATACCACAGGGTCCATCCTTCATGATAAAAAAAAAAAAAAAAAAAAACCTGCAATTTGAACAGCTGCAAGTCTAGTACCTGAAAGATGGCAGCCTATTTTTTTATGTTTTGTTTACTTCTTCCTGACCCCCATAAGGATAGGTGATTTATTACAAAATCTGTGGCAGCTTTGTAGCAGGTTCATTTCCAGATGCCTGATTGAGAGCTTTTTTCTTGTTATTGATGTTGCTCTGACAGACTTTAGGGAGTTTTCAGGCCTTTAATTACATCTAGATGCTCTTTTGCCACACAGAGACTTTGAAAACCTAGTTGTGGATCTTGGAGTTTTTCCCCCAGGATAGAAGCTCATATCAGCACAGACAGACCTTGACAGGAGAGATGTTAGTGCTCATCACTGATCAGCATTTGTTAGACCATTGTGCAAAGGTATGTGGAGGTTCCAGAACCCAGACAGAGCTGTTATTAGCTCCGCCTGCTGATCTTCGTGACTCAGGGCTCAGTGCTTGAATCTATAAATTGGTGCTGGGATCACAAAAGACAGTGGCATACCTCAGCTTGATGAATTTCTGGTTTAGTATTTTTCTTCAGACGTTATTTTGACGATAATGAAAGAAGAATGTAGAAGGATATTTCCTTGTCAATTACAAACCTTAAATACCACTTTGGTACCAATTCCACTAATAGAAAAGGTTGGAAAACGAAGAGGCTGACTGGAAACAGGCTGAAAAACACTTCAATTCCTCTGATTACTTTAAAAAAAAAAAACAGTAACCTTTGGATGCTTCAGTAGAGAAACTCTGAGCTCTTTTACTGAACACACAATAATTTCCCAATCATCTAAAAAAGCAAATCTGGTAGGAGCTCACAGGTGATGGTTTCAATTGGGATGTCAACTTGTTACATCTAACATCACTCTGATAATGGGCTGCAGGTTTTTCACTTCAGACTTATAAGCACAAGGGCTGTATGTTTGTCAAAGTGAAAGACAACAGCTGTAGTGACTCCATTCTTAACAACAAATGCCACATGTGCACTGCTTATTACTTGGTTTTCCATGCCACTATACAAAAAGATGATGAGCCTGCAGAATTAATGGGACAGATCAGTCTGCGAAGAGTCAGACGTTGGCCGACAGCACTGTCAAAGATTACAATCCAGTAAATAAAGTTACAGTAGAACAGTGCTGCTTCTCACACTTTTCCAAAATTTGTCTATTAACGTTGTGTGATTGACTCCCAATTACACAGCAGCAGTTTTTCAGATATCTTTTTGCCAGTGAGAGGAGGATTTAGGAAAAGATGCATATAACATAATTGATCATAGCAACAAGAAAGACATCTCAGAAGTTTTTTTTGCCTTTTGATCTTTTTGATCTTGAAAGGTTTTTCTCTTTTTTCTCAGACTTGAAAGAAAGGTAAGAAAAACTACTTCCCATCTGGGCTTCAGCATTTCAGTATATATTCTGATATTCCCAGAAGCTGTATCTTCTTGCATCTCAGATCTTCGCTGATTTTCTGATGTCAGGAAAAAAATAAGCGTTGGTTTTCTTTTCTATCTCACAGATGACACATCTCAGATGGTGGCAGTACTTAAAAAAATTTTTAAACAGGTAGGACAAAGACTACTTAAAAATATGCCTCCTTAATTTCAGAAGTGTGCTTTCAATCAGAATCAAGGAAAGAGGTTGATCCCGTGGCAGTGAGAATACACAGATGTGACACTTATAACAAAGGAACAGGTCTCTCTAGTCTTAAGCACTCCAAATACGTGTGTCCTGAGGAGCAGCTGAAGTAGTCAATGCAAGACTTATTTTTCTTTATGATTAAGTTTAGCATTGGAATGGACTGTCCAGGCAAACAATGGAGTCCCCATTCCTGGAAGTATTTAAAAGATGTGTAGATGTGTCACTAAGGAATGTGGTTTAGTCATGGTCAGGTAGTGGCTGGACCTCATGATCTTGAAGGTCTTTTCCAACTTGGATTCAATTTTTTGTTTCTTAGATCTCTATGAAGCTAAATAAGATTGCTACAGTGAATGTGTTTCATTTCCTGATGGCCTGATTTGTGACTGTGCTTGAATGGTTCCAGTTCTTACAAGACAGGCAGTTTGTGGCAGCCTATCAGAACTAAGCCAACCAATAATTGAGTTATTTTGCCTACCTTTTTTAAAGACATGAGAGGGAAAGCTGCTTCTAAATTAGACTTGCTCATTTGCTGTGAAACGCTGCTGGACCAAGACTTCTACTTCATCCATTGCTGACACTTAAATTACTGGCTGAATAGTTGAGCGGTTCTGAGAGCATAGCAAAGTCATAAGCCAGAACACTCAGAGGGATCAATTAACCTAATATTGTGTAATACTTCTTCTCCATTTCTTCTTCAAACATTCTGAGTCAAAATATATCTGATTTTAATAGATGTAATAATTTTCATCTATGAAATGTAAAAGTGAACAACAATTACTATCATTTTCTATATCTTTGCCCCAGAAAAACAAACAAACAAAAACATTTTCTTTCTGAAATATCGCCTAAGGATACCTGTAGATACAGGGGTAAAAAAATGAGAGAACAGGAATCAAAGAAGATGTTGCTGAATATATCTTTTTGTAAGCATTTGACTACATGTAATGAAATAAAGGACCAAAATAAGGCCGGAAAACAAAAAAAGAACAATCCACAGCAGCTATTACACAGTATTGAGTTGAAGTGTGAACCCTTAAATCCTTTGCAATGACAAAAGTTCATCCAAGTTCACTAATGGCGATAAGCTAGATAAAGTAATTTACGGTATCAGATATCAATCCTGTTGAGGCTGAATGCATATAAGTCATGAATGCCAGTAGCTGCTTTGAAACTACTGAGCGAATTATAACGAGGGGGACAAATTCTAGTCACTTCTTCCTTCAAAGGCATTGCCCATTTCTGCAGATGATAAGGCCTGGATGAACAGAATCTCAGAATTGTCATGCCTTTAAAAGAGCTGGAACAGATTTCTCAAGAAATACTGCATTACACATTCTTTTTAATGCTTTACTACAAGTCTTTCCTTCTGATTGCAGTTCCGCATCACATCTAGCCCTCCATGGCAAGGCAGTAGCAGCTGGTGAGGAACTGAAGCAGAAGAGCTTTCCAAGAAAGGCTACTATGTTTGTGTAGGTTGTGGTGGAAGCAGCAGTCAGAGACTTTCTACAGGAGGCTTTTTACTGAGTCAATCAATTTAGGCTGAACTCTGAAAAACAAGATGCGATAAGCAAAAATGGACTCCCATTTTTTTTTAATTCCCCCTTTTGTGTGTGTGTGAGAGAGAGTGGTTGATATGGTACCTTTTCATAGCAGTGCCTCCATTTCTTCATTTTAAAGTTTATACTATTTCATTCTCTGCTTTGCAGTGCAGAAACTCTTCACAATGGCTTTCCACCGTTCACAGGAACTTAACTGGCTGTGGCCTAATACTGCAGAACTGACTCTGCTGCACCAGAGCCTCTCATAAGACAGAATGAAGTAGAGATGCTGAAAAGAAACAAAAAGACAAAAACTAAGAAAAACAAATAAATAAACCTTACTTTATCTCACTAATGTCTTTCTAACAGAATCTCACTTTTAAATGGGGGTATTTTTTCAAATTTTTTTAATGGAGTTAATGCCATGGGCACAACACCTCATAACCCAAATGACTTCATGTGTCAGTGACATTAGTACAGATCTGATCTTCTGAATGATATTTACATGCCTTAGGTGTTGGTTTTGGAGTATACGAATTTCTGATTTTATTTGTACAAAAACAACAAACAAAAAAACCCAACACCCTAGACTGAACCAAATGTTCATGCATCTATCATAGAATCATAGATTTACAGAATGGTTTAGGTTGGAAGGGACCCTGAAGATCATCCAGTTCCAACCTCCTGCCACAGACAGATTGCTGCCTGTCAGATCAGGCTGCCCAGGGTCCCATCCAACCTTGAACACTTTCAGGTATGTGGCATCCACAGCTTTTCTGGACAGCCTGTACCAGTGCCACACCAGCCTCTGAGTAAAAATTTCCTCCTCATATCTCACCTAAATCTCCTCTTTTTAGTTTAAAACCATTCTTCCTTGAGAATTTATTATAAGATAACCAGAGAAAGCCTGGTGAGATAAGCTGTGATGAGAAACGTACAAAGAAAGGAAAAAAACGAGTACTGAAAAGGGAATTGGTAGAAACTGCTATTTCAATATTCCATATATATTAAACTTGTAGTGATGTAAACATTCTCCACAAGGACAACTGTAAAGGAAAATAAATTGGTAAAGAAATAAAGATGTCATCAAGATTTAGAAAATTAGTATTTGCATTGCTCCAAGTTTGCTCCTAAAAAAATGTTGTTACGACCCAGCACAGACATGTCCTGACGCCTCTGGCTTTGAGACACTGTGCACACACTTTCTTAGTTAACTTTTAAAGAATCAGAACCTCTGGGATTTTCAGTCTTAGCAAACAGAAAAGAGAGTAACAGTGGGGATTTTTACATACAAATTAAAGGTTCTTTGGGAAAACAGTCCTAACTGTTGGAAACTCTCCTAACTACTTGGAAACTCTTCAGGACAAGCATTATATCATTCATTATCTGCAGTTGTATCACAGCAGTCAGTGGTCAGGGATCAGGTTTTTCAACCTGACTCCTCTGTAAACAGCACAGGAATATTCAGAGTCAATTGGACTATAGATAAAACAGCATTTCTTGCAGTGCTTCAAAAGATGATGTAATTGTCTCATAAACGACGCAGATCATTAGAATTGTCCATGAGCAGCCACATGGCAGAAATGAAGCAATTACAGCATTAGTAAAGACGCATCTCTTTAGCCACTGCCTCTCAATTATTCTGGTCTTATTCTCTCTGAAGGATGATAAATGCATATTTGACAAAAGAATGGAAATAAATGTAGGAGCACAGATCCCGTAAGCAGATGTGCAAATGAGCAAGTCACTATTTCAGAAACAGTCAACAGAGGATGATCTCCCAGGCACACCTCAAACAATCATAATGCATAAGGGCTGGCTACAGCAAAGATCAGACAGCCGAATGCCATGAACCAGCAGAAGCTTTATAGAAAATGTGGCATTCAAGTGTGTCTGGCTTTCTTTATGCAAGAATTGCTTGAACATTTCTGTATCACAAGTGACAGTAATTGGACGGAGCATTTGTAAGTGCTCCTTTTTCTGGTTCCGTGAAGGAGACATTTTGTTGGGTGAGCACCTCAGATGTTGTTGCAGGTAGAAGAAATTAGTCCTGCCACTGAATTCTCCAGTCTCAATGTTGGCAAGTCAGAAATGCACCATTCATGAATACAGACTGAGCAATAAAAAACTAAGAACATGGCTATACAAGCACCATCCTAATATTACAGAAAGTTGGGGAAAAAAAAGTTAATGTACTGTGGTTTATTAGAAGGTGAACATGGATGGGAGGTCTTGTACACAAGAGTGGGAACTACTGTACACAGTTTACACAAATTTGCAAATTCAGTGCTGCAAGTCTAAATGCAGGGTTTCACTTACACTGTAATACAAGTAAACGATGTTCTTATAACGTGTACAGAAATGTTGGAGTTCCCAAAAGAAATTCTTTAAAAGCCTTGGAAAGCAATGTAATTTCCTCTCTTGAAGGACAATATTTTTCTAAGGACACTAAGGTTACGTTTTTACTTCTACACTGATCATATTTGGGAAAGTTTCAGGACATTTAGGTTGTTTGTCCAATAACGTACTGTTTCAACATTCAAAAACTCTCTTAACCTCCAAAAGGAAGTAGCCATACACAAATCACGTTTGCCAAATGGTCCCTCAAGCATATTCATACTTGAACCATGTGTAGCAATTACTTGGAAGACCTGTAATTGAAAAAAATAATAGCAGGGAAGACTTCATGAACACGCAAAGCTGTGTTGTTTCAGTATCTTGGAAGCTTCTCTGTGTTGTTCTTCTTATACACAGCTAACCTCATCATACTATGGCACTGTTCTCTGTATTAAGTCATAGTGGAAAAAATGGTTATCTTTGTTTCGAGTAGCACTTCTGAAGCTATAATGATAACTGATGAAATTTCCTTCACTGTTAAGTACAGGCATGTTAACTGGCATTTTTTATTCTGTACCTGTTCTGCTGTTTCTGTGCAGATAGGGTGAAATTTGTTCCACCACTCAGTCTCTTGATTGGAAGGTATAATAGTATAATAATCTAACAATCCTTACTCCCTATATTTGCAGTTTCCCCACTGCAGGCAAAATCCTTGGTGACTAACAGTCTTGAAATGACATTAACTAATCAATGCACACTGAACTATAAAATTGGCTGTTATAGTCTAACTCTTTATATGATTATAATGTAAGTGAAAGAGTTATTATCACAGCACATAGCATGAAACCAGCATTGGTTACATTCCTGTTTTTTTTTCAGTACTTTTCAAGGCTTTTAATGCAGTTTTAGGAGCATTTGGGATTTTTTTCTGCAACTCCTATTTTTAATAAAATTTAAAAACTGCCACAGTTTGTTTTCCTGACAGCAGCAATGCCTATCAATTTCTTTTTTATTTGATCTGTAACTCAATAATAAAAGTTGCATTGACAGCAGAATGGTTTCTACTGTAAGCTGGGATTACTAAGAAAAGAATTAAATTTTATGCATTCAAGGTCATTCAAAAATGAGAAAAAAAATACATAGGAGGGCAGAAAGCAAACCTATTGAGAGCAGACTACCTTAAGAAGGCTTGAAACTTGAACAAACATCCAATGAAAGTGGTAATGGGGAACTCCAACTGTAAAGGGACTTCTGGAAAAAAAAAAAAAAAAAAAAAAAAAAAGAGACGTTGACATAGGCATGGAAACATTATCTTTTAGAAGTTGATCTTTCATTATCATTATCTATAGGACAGCTTTAATGAATTTAGTGCATATTCCTGCATAGCGCTGAGATCTTCCTGCCTTTCATGATGGTTCAATCTTATATAAACTATCTGCAGATGACAGTAAATTTAGATCCAAACAAACATTTCCTCATACCTTAACTATTTTCACTATTTGTAGCTGGATATTTACCCTTTGCTGAGTTTTGGGGAATAACAAAATCTTGAACTGATGCACAGTTATTGTAGTTTCAGTTATTGTAGTTTCTCAGCTGAGCAAAAGGGCACAAATTAAGACATATAACAGACACATACAGACTAATAGGACGGTTATGGAAAATCATCTTTAAGACTTCAGAAAAAAAAATCTCCCTGTTTAAATAATGCTGCAGGCATTTTTTCCCCTTTAATTACATGGCCCAGCAAAGAAAACCCGTTGTTTCCTGTTGGTTACATAAGAATAATCTGAAGGGCAAAACTGCCATGAAATCATACCACACTTAAGGAGACTGACAATTTGTAGAGGGAGAGAGGTGAATTAAAAACTGCAAGCAAATGTTTGAAACAATATTTTAAATAATGCATTGCATATAACTGAATATGTTAGTCATGATTTTCTTTCATATACATCACCATAAAATTTGCAGCATGTGATGGTGTGCTTCCCTGCCACCTCCTTCAGTCTGGCTTTCCTTGTTAAAGCACTGTCTGCTGCACCTAAAGCCTTGCTCAGGTGGATAGCCATCACAATACTGACACAAACTGAGCGCTGGAAGAACTGACTGACAGATGTCTTATTCAACAGCTGAGGGCCAACTGAGCATGCACCAGGAAATATGACCATGCGTCAATCATCTTACCACATAAATATTGAGCAGCACAGGAGTCCTTGAAACAATTCTGCACAGCAGCTTGCTGCATAACAGCATCTCCCCTTGAGTAGGGATGTCTCTTGATATTACGCCTGCTGCAGAGACCTTAATGTCAAGAGATTCCTTGCTGGTACAGATCCTGTGTATGAGACTAATAATTTGTTAAGCTTTGAAAGCTTCACTAAGATTATATCTTAGGGACAGCATTTGCCAGCTTTCAGTCAACTGAGACTTGTCAGATTCTCAAGACTACTGAAAAATAACTAAGACATGTCTTGTAATGACATCAGCCAGCTCTTTCAGCATCCTGGGAAGAATCCCATCAAGCTCTACAGACTTACGGATACCCAGCTGGAGCAGCAAATCCCACACATGTTCAGTCTGGTCTAAAAGGTTGTTATTACCATAGCCCCAGTTCTGTGGCTCCTGGCTTCTAGAGGCCCCAAGATCCATAATCAGTGCTGAAGACAGAGGTGAAGAAGGCACTGAATGTCTCTTTGACTGCACCCCTCTTTTTGAGATGGCCAATCTCATAGGGTAATGGACCAATGTTAGTTTTGGTCCTGTGTTCATTGTTAGCATATCTGAAAAGTACTTTTTGTTGTCTCCCACAGAATTGGCCAGCTTCAACTCTAATTGAGCTTCAACCACATGACTTTTCTCCCTGTAATGGTAAATGGCATCTCTGTAGTCCTCCCATGTTACCATACCTCACTTCCAGTGGCCATACACTTTGTTCTATCACCTAAGCTCTAGAAGATCCCTCCTTAGTCACATCAGCTTTCTGCCTTGCCTGCATGCCTTTCTACTTTTTGGAATTGCCTCTTCCTGTGCCCTTAAGAGGCGGTGCTTAAAAAGTGACCAGCACTGACGGACTCCAATGCCTTCAGAAACAGTTTCCCAAGACACATTGCTATTTCCTTGAGCAACCTGGTCTGCCTTCTCAATACTCAGAGTTAAAGTTTTGCTGACATTTTGCTTCCTATCACCAAAGATTTTAAACTGAGCTGCTTCATGGCTCCTATGGCCAAGATGGTTGCTAATCACCACTTGCCTCACAAGACCCTCTGTGTATACAAACAATAAACCTAGGACGACATCTTTCTTAATTGGCTACCTGAATAAGCATACCAAACAGTTATCATCAACATATTTTAGGAATTTCCTGGAACTGTTTGTGTATGCTGAAGCATTCAAGGATAATTGTTTTAAGAAGGATCATTAAAAATATTAATGTCTTTTTCATTTTATTCACACTGTGCTACCTGAAACTCCTATAACACTGAAGATTATGAGAGAACGTTGGCATCTATCAGTGGAAGAGAATATCCTGGAGCTACAAATTATTTATCTGTTCCTGTTTTGCTTTTTCTTCTCTTTTAACAGCTGCAGTTTCAGTCAATATTAGGCAGTGTTGCATAAAACTATACAATTAACCCATCAGAATAAAGAGCATGGGAGGAATTGTGCAGCATTTATGCATAGAACTCTATTGTGTTGAATTAGTACTGAGACTATTTTCCTTCAAATTGCTGACTGTTGCTGATTGGTTCCAAAAAACAGAGACAGCTCACGGAGATGAACTGAAATAAAGTAGCATCATGCAGCAACAACCTATTTGACTAAGTGCTTGTTAACCTGCAAGATCCTAATCTTCATTAACATTATTTTATCATTTTCAGTGATTCTAAGGAATAGTTTGAAATTTGTTTCTCAGAGGAAGCGACTTTATCCTAGAATAAACAAACTCCTCACTTAATGGATTTCCAGTTCAGGCATTGGTTATTGTTATATTAACTGAAATTCCTTCTGGTCATTATGTGAAATGTTCAGATTATAACAGGATTTTCATTTAGAGAGAATAAAAGTAAACGTACCTAAAAACCTTGCAACAACAAGCAAGTATTTTCAGTAACCAGTCTTTAGGTCATGCTTAGAATCCTCCTTCATTTTTATAGTACTGCTGAATAATGATACCCTCACCTCTGTCAGTACTGAGGTAACACACTCAGTTCTGGACAGAATTTTTATTGCTGTTCAAATATTCATTTCCCATCCCTTCCCTTTCCTCTTCCCTCCCTTGTCCTTCCTTCTCTTCTGTCCTTTAGCCTTTCCTTCTCTTTCCTTTCTCCCTACTTTTCTCTATTCCACAACTTGCTCCCTCCAACCTGTTTCTTGTATTCTGTGTTCTCGAGGTAATGACAGTCTCACATCTTTGACCTTCAGAATTAAATCCTTACAATATTAGCAAAGTAAAAAATATCTTTCCTTCTAGATATTAATTAGTTTTAATGAAGCTAATATCTATTAAGAGAATAAAAAATAACAATGGGAATAAATTATTCATCTGATAAAAATAGCTAGCTGCTTTTACACTTTTTCTTGTGTCAATATTTTCCATCTTAATCCTTTCTTACCTTCCTTCTACTTTACCTTCTTCATACAGAGTCCTAGTTTAACAGCAGTGTAAAATTTTATGAAATAATTAGGGGAGCTCAGCTTATGTTGTCAAATCTCAAAGATTTAACTGCAGAATTATCTCAGTGTAGTGGTACAGAAGGACTCTAAGTCAAATCTACTTTATATTAGCAGTGGATTTATCAATGATGCTTTAACTCGCTTGTTTTGGCTTTAAAACAGAGCTGGACAAGCAGACTATGAGAGTGATAAATAACAATAGAGGCCATAATAAGAAATATACTTTCCCACAAGTTTCACAGGACAAGGTATGTCCCAGATGGAGTCAGGTCCTCAGGTGCCTATTATCATCCCTCTAACAGTAACTTCCCTCTAATAGTAACTTCAGTAATGGTTCTTCATGGGCAATATAATTACACCTTTTCCAAAGTGTTCTGCAGCTCAAAGAGAAAAAAAAAATACCAAGCCTTATATTTTTCTCCCACACTGAGATTTGCTTACTTACAGGAACAAAAAGCTGGATGGCTTAAGGAATAGTGAATTCAGTGACTGTAAACTGCTAGAAGCTAGAGGCTTGTTCAGTTGCAAATGGAAGGCACGTAGTATATGAAAGCTCCCACAATTTTTGCTGATGCTGATGAACAAAATCAAAGCATAAGACAGAAATTAAAACATAGTAATAGAAGAAATAATATATCAAAGATTAGGAATCAATTCTTACTATCTGTTGTTCGATTCTTTCATTTGCCAGTATACCATAAACTCTATTTTCAAATGTGTTTAGAAATTGACTCTTGTGAGGCTTTCATAGAAAGCGTTAGCAAAAATATCTGCTTTGTGAAAGTAATAATTTGGCTGCAGATTACAGTGGTTTCACTCAAGTGATTTGTCTTATTTTAACACCAGGATGCTTTAGTTTGCCTGCTTGAAGTGAGGTCTTAAACAACAAGGTATCTCCACATAGGTAGACTTTGCGGTTGTCCCCGGTAGACTGCTTAGGCATCACACGAAACTTTTTGTTCAATTATTTCACAAAGCTGCCACTTGAAATCTACCAACAGGTGTAATCTGAATGAGCAGATGTAAAATCACAGAAGAAAATAATTTATACAGTCAAAGCACATAGGCATGTGGGTTTTGGAGGATACTAGTGATGTGCCATGGGTCAGAGGCAAATCAAATTACAAGCAGTTACAGAGCAGCAAGGCAAAAGTTAGGCTCAGCAGGGAATCTGAGAGGTGGTATATGAAGGAAAGCAGAAAATCAGCAAATGTTTCAGAGTTGAAAGTGCATTTGTAACATAAACAGAGATTAAGTCCATGTGTGAGGCAGTAACAATGTGAGTGCATGTTGTTAGCACCGGCAGCAAAAGTTTTTCTTACATATCTTTGGAAAATTAGATATAAAAATATAAGTTGTTCAAAAGAAATTCTTTTTAAGTACAGAATACGGTAAATTATCCAGTCTCAACCAAAATGAAGTAAATGTTTTATTTCTGAAATAAAGAAAAGCCATCACCAACTCAAATCATAGCATCACAGAATTGTAGAATGGCTTGGGTGGGAAGGGACCTCAAGGATCATCAAGCCCCAACCCACCTGCCGTATGCAGGGCCTCCAACTTCCATATCTAATATTAGACCAGGCTGCCCAGGGCCCCATCCAATCTAGCCTCCAGGTATGGGGCATCCATAACCATCTCTGGGCAACCTATTCCAGCACTTCACCACTCTCACAGTACTTTCCCCTTATATCCAACCTAAACCTTCCCTTCTTAAACCTAAATCTATTTCCCCTTGTCCTGCTGTTATCTACCCTGGTAAAGAGTTCATTCCCCTTCTGTTTGCAGGCTCCCTTTAGGTACTGAAAGGCTGCAATGAGGTCACCCCGCAGCCTTCTTTTCTCCAGGCTGAACAAGCCCTGCTCCCTCAGCCTGTCTTTGTAGGGGAGGTGCTCCAGTCCCCTGATCATCTTCATGACTCTTCCCTCCAACAATTCCCTGTCTTCCTTGTACTGGGGGCCCCAGTCCTGGTTTCAGTACTCCAGATGGGGCCTCACAAGGGCAGAGTAGAGAGGGAAAATCACCTCCCTGTCCATGCTGCCTCTTCTGATGGAGCCCAGAATACCATTGGCCTTCCAAGCTGCAAGTGCACACTGCAGGCACATGTTGAGTTTTTCCACCAGGATCCCAGGTCCTTCTCTGTAAGACTACTCTCAAGGATTGCTCCTTCCAGTCTATATGGATGCCTGAGATTCTTCCAGCCCAAGTGCAAAACCTTGCACTTTGCTCTGCTGAACCTCATTAGATTCACCTGAGCCCACCCTTCGAGTCTGTTGAGGTCTCTCTGAATGAGGTTCCCCTTTCATTGTGTCAACTGTACCACTCTGCTTGGTGTCATCAGCAAACTTGCTGAAGGTGCACTCCATTCCATCAGAGGGTGCATTCCATTCCGTCATCGATGTTAAAGAGCACCATCCCAAGACAGACCAGTGGGGGATGCTGCTTATTACCGGCCTTCGCCTGGACACAGAACATTGATTACCACCCTCTGTCTGCAGCCTTCCAACCAATTCCACATATCAAATCTACGTCTCTCCAACTTGAAGATAAAGATGTGGTGGGGGCCCATGGCAAAGACCCTGCACAAGTCCAGGTAAATGACACTGGCTGCCTTCCCTTTGACCACTACTGTGGTCACTCCATCATAGAAGGCCACCAGATTGGTTAGGCATGACCGTACTCTGGAGAAGCTGTGCTGGCTGTCTCGGATCACACACTCATGCATTATGATCAAGCATGCCATCCAGGAGGATCTGTCCATGATCTTCTCAGGCACAAATGCTATAACACATTCAAACTAACCATTCCTTTGCACAGATTTCTTAATGTTCTACATTATCTCTTCCTACAGATGGCATTTTCAAAATTCCTTATACCTCTACTTCCTTTAGCATCATTTGCTGATGTGGATATCTACAAGCTCATGCTTTAAAATCTAAAGATAATACACAGGGATATACTCTTAACTGAACTGGAGTTAGACTCAGTCATCCTTATGGGTCCCTTTCAACTCAGGATGTTCTATAATTCTACAAATAGTCTTGGGAAGAAATGCACATGAAACAAGGTTTATAGAGTATATGAATAGATGATGAAGAGCAAAAGGGAAGGAGACTTTAGTAAACATGTCCTGGAGAGAAGCAGGACAGGAAGATTTCTGGAAAGAAACCACAGCTCTGTCATGGAGTTACCTCTAGATCTGTGTCCATGACAGGAGGACAGCAAGCCCACAGGCCCACCAGCACGGAAAAGTGTAGGAGAGTGTAGGGAAGAGTGTCAACATTGTATGGGCGATTCAGCCCAGTTCTGCAACTAATGGGGAAGGGGACCCATGGAGCAATGCCCCGTGAAAAGGGAAAGGGAAAAGGGTAGGAAAAAGTGCCTAAGAACAGAACAGCAGTAATGATCTGAAGATGAATTAATTTACTAAACACGATATCAGAATGCAAGATAACACATTATAATACATAATTGGAATTGAGGCTAATAAATCAAATAAAATGGCCTTAGTCTAAAATTGAAGGCAAATCAGCTGGGGAGCACACCCACACACTGCCAGGCAGAGAGAAAAGAAGAAAGTCTCATGACTTGCCAGGAGCATTCTCTTCCTCATTGAACACAGTCCTGTAGGACATATAGTTCTTCTTTTCTGACAGCCAGATATTCACAAATGTCATTGATGAAGACGTTGAAGAGCACTGGTCCCAAGACCGACCTCTGAGGGGCACTGCTTGTGACTGGCCTCCACTCTGATACAGAACCATTGATCACAACTGGCTGTGGCCAGCCAAACAATTCTTAACCCACCGAACAGTTCATCCTTCAAATCCATACCTTAGAAGGAGGCTGCCTAGCCTTTGGCAACCTCTCCTGCACAGGTGGACTTTCACCAACATCCAGGTCCAGAGCTTCATACCTGTTATGTAAGGGCACCTGGGAAGGCAGACAGGCTGAGGGGCAGCCTGCTTGTTGCTCCCAAGAGGGACTTGTTTCCATCCCTCACTATCTTTGAGGTCGCCCCTTCCCACCTGACTATGAGACAGCAGATGACCTCCCTCTGCTTGAGGAGCTTCTCACCCACGCCCTTCCTGTAGAGATGGCAAAGTGCAACCCCACAAATCGATCCCCTTCCCACAAACCTGGATGCTCCTCAGCCTTTCTACTTCCTCCTTTAGCTGTAGCACTAGGCTGAGCAGATCATCCACCTGCTCACACCACAAACAGCTGGTATACCGGCTGCCCACCTGCAGCAGTGACGGAGCCAGGCATTCTCTGCAGCCTGAGACCTGAAATGTGGCACGGACATTCGCGCTTTCAGACTGAGCTCCCACATCTCTTTTAACAGCAGCTCGCAGACTTGTGGTGACCATGGTTGCACCTCGATGCATCCAGAGAGCAACGACCCTTTAATTGACTTGTTAAGTGCTAAGTCCTCCCTTATATGGCAACGTGCCCTACCTGCTTGCTGATCCGTTCGGAGTTCGCCCTGAAAAATCACCCGCTTCAGAGAGATGACAACCCTCCCCCGTCTAGTCGTGTCAGTCAGTGGCATACCATTTGTCCTTATCTGAACAGCCAACGTGATTCACTGCCCGACTCCGCCTCCCCGTCCCTGAGGCTTTTTCTAGGAAGAGCGCGTGAATGCAGAGCAGTTGCCCTGGCAACGCCCACTTCACGTCCGCCGCTCTCTCGCGAGAGCTGCCGTACTGCTCCGGCGCCCGGGGTTCCACGAATGAAGGATCGATCGATACCTCCCTGTACCTCGCGGGCAGTCGCTGCCCGGTTCTGGCCGGGGAATCTCCGAAGTGGCTAATTTCAGAGGTCAAGCAGTCACCCCTGAATGACTTTAAAAACCGTTTGGCTCTGTTGCTCAGAGACACGATTTAGTGCAGGGCTGTCAGAATTAGGGTAGTATGGTTAGGTTGTGGTTGGACTTCATCTTGAAGGTCTTTTCCAACCTGAGCAATTTTGTGATTCTAATAGACTGCAGTGATTGTTCTGTTTACGGCCAACAGATAGTGTTTTAATCACAGACAGAATCCCTAGCAGCTGCTGACAAAGTTCATCAAGTTACACCACAGGAAAATTATGTCGTTTGCTCCAAAAGTAACATCTCCTATTTATTTCCATGCAGACAACAGATGCGAAGAGCAGAAGGAC